TCTTTCTGGCCTCTAGCCACAACAGGTTTGAAGGTCCTACATTCAGATTAAGCGGAGCTTCTTCCCAACAGTGACGTTTGTTGGATCCCCAGAAACTGTAAGATGCCTCTGTCCCGTTCGCTTTCCATGACATCCCTGACCGGGGTGCTGCCGGCCTGGGAGGAGGACGAGCTGCCTGTGGAGGACCTGCTGCTCTTCGAAGTATCCTGGGAGGTCACCAACAAAGGTCAGTTTCATCAGAACTGTATTACTTATATTTCCAGTTCGTACAGTGAAACACTGCATGTATCTTTGTAGTATTTATTTCATTTGAATCAGTTAGCTCATATTAATGTATTTGAGTCAATATATTTCAGTGTGCGTGTGTATATGTTTGTTTGTGTTTCTTTTTTTTTAAAAGTTTTTTTTTAATGACTTGTGGCTAGAAAAACCATATACAGAATGTATAAATATCTATGAATCAAAGGAATTTAAAAAAAAAACCCCGTCTGAAACCATAATGAACAGTAACAAATGTGTATCTTTAAAGTATCAGTATTTCAGTTTAAACATCACTTTAATTTGTATCTCTAATACCATGCCATGGGACAATTTCCTGTTTAAAACCCCCCCCCATCTGTCTGTTAATATTAGTAATATTTTATGAAAGAGTCACTCTTTGCCCCTTGAAGAGCAAATATTGAAATGCACTGAGTGTGCTCCCTCTGAAGAGTTAAACATTAAGCTGATGCTCATGTAGTGTCCTAAACACAAAAAAGATAAAATGACTGAATAGTGAATTGGTTTGCATGTGGACAGCAAGTGTTGTGTTACAGTACTAATTGTGGCTTTAGCCTCGAATCACTGAGAACATTTTATGCATAGTGAAGATTTCTGCTGCTTGTTTATTCACTCTTACTGACAGTTTGGATTGTAGTTGGATATGGAAACTGCAACTTTTTTTTTCTTTTCTTTTTTTTTTTATTTTAAAGATGTGACAATAGCACATTGTTTTATGTTGTGTTTAATTACCTTTAATTTCAAATTAATGAATCTAAAAAATGTAAATATTAATTTGAACATTAAGGTTCAGAGGTTATCAGGCACTCTGCTGTTTTCTCTGGCTTTACTGTTTATATGATCCCTGCTCTCTGATGCAGCTCAGACGTCATTCTCTACTGAATGTTTTGGTGATAATATCAGTATTTGTCTTTATGCTGCCTAGTGAGACTGAAAAACATTACCACATGTGCTTTGACCCCTACAAACCAGAGACTTTGTGTCTGCTACAAATGGCACCAGTGCAATATCAGCTCCTGGTCAAAATGGGTTTGTATAAAAGATCTGTTAAAGCATTTGATAGCCCCTGCCTATTTTCAGTGATTTAGTGTTTGACTAAATAACTGAACAGCTGATGATAATGTATGTAGGTATGTTTTGTCTCTTTCTTTCCATTTTTGTGGATTTTTAAATGACAATCTGGATTATGTCTCAGCACATAATAAAACGTAATTTAACAAAAGTAAACCAAAAGGCAAAAACACTGTATAGAAAAACTAGGAACATCTTTCCTACTTCCATAAGAATTAGGAGACTAAAAAGCAGCCAGTTGCTGCTACTAAATGCATTTGATTAACTGATCTGGAAATGTGAACAGCTATAGAAGTAGCAGTAGTTTAATTATCATTCAGGTGTCTGTTCACCTAATGCCAATGAAGATGGAAATCAAAATTATGAGGAAGCAATTTTTGTTGCCCTTCAGTCTGGAACCGGTTACAAGGCTGCTTCTTGAGCAAATTGAAATCAGTCATTCTGCAGAGAGAGCATTCACAAGTCAGAAAGCATTCAAAACAGTTTTCAGTCTTAACCAGAAGTTGGCATTCCAACAAATTCACCCCAATGATACTCAGAAACTTAACCCTCTGGGGTTTAATTGGTTGTTTTTCCATACTTTTGATTTTACCTTGTATATTTCACATTTTAAAACTGTTTACCTTGCCTCGTTTAAAATAATTCTTGTCAGCACTCCCTGTCTAATTTGGGATTTTTTTTTTTTTGTTTTAACTGCAAAAACTACAAACATGTTTAACAAATCATTTTCATAACTTGAAATTCAAAATAAATTGTAAATTAAAAAAAAGTTATGCACAAGTTTAGCAAATAAAGTTATTTGGAACTACTTCCCTAAAAATGTAGCAAGGTGTCAGGCGTTTTTATATAACCATTTAAAACTATTTACGGAATAACCAGGTGTTCTGCATCAAATAGTTAAAGTTAAAAATAAATAACTGGATTATGAATTAACGTAAAAATGGCGTTGACCCTGACAGATCGCTTTTTACGTCACGTAGCTGCGCAATGAACGCAGTTTTTGTGGGTGCCAGAAAAAGCGGCATTCAAAGACCGAGAAAACTGCCTTTTTTCCGCCACTCAGAAGGGGCGTTCAAGGCGTGCCCCCCCTCCTTTGTTTTTCTGACTAATTAAACTGCGATCTTTAACGCCATTTCTTAACCAGACGGGTTAGGAAAAGTGGCAAATTGCAGCACTATTGGCTTGCAACAGTTAAACGTTTTTAACCTTTTCTTTCGGGACTAAACGTGCCGATAGTATTCAGAAAACTTATTCTAACTCTGGTTTTACGTGGCCTATCACACAATTTAAAAACTGGTATATAGATTGAAGTCCGCACTTTCAAAATAAGTTGAAGGACACTCTTGACTGCATCTTCTTGCTATAGGTACAGTCTTAAATCGGTCATGTGATTTAGACCCCAAAGAGTTAACCCTCCACCAGGCCTCAGTTAGCATGTTAAATGTTAAAATTCACGACAGTCCAATTATAGAAAAAGTCATCAGGTATGGCTTGTTTGGAAGGGCTGTATGATCAAACTGTTGCTACTGTTACCACTACTATTGTTGTTT